TTATGTGGGCTTATAGGCAAATAATATAAACTGTCTAAGCCATCAATTGTCTGTACGTGGAAGAACCAGACTTGAAGTAGGATTTTTAAGTTTATCAAGTCTGACTGAGTATGGTGCTGGGCAAAGTTTAAATTATGTTACAGAAAATGTGTATGAGATTGTGGGCATGTTTACCGGTGTCTGAAACATGGATAGACAATGTGTATGAGAATTTATGGGTATCAGAGATGGAGATGGTATGTTAGGGAGAATGAGGAACATATATACAACAGTGTGGGAGAGGACATTTTGGAAGATGATTTTATATTAAGAAGTGATATATGAAGACAATGTAAGCATGAGAGAAAGGAAGAAAAAGCAAGAAGAAAGGGATAGGAAAAAAGAGCAATGTGGTGAATGACTGGTATAAAATGGTGTTAGAGAAATACTAACTACTAATTCTAACTGCTAATTTTAACTACTGGTGTGGCAGAGGAGCTGTTCAAATAGATTTGACACCTGAGCAATTACAACAGACACTGGCTATAAAAATGGTGCTATTCTATTATTACTCCTGGTTGAATATTAGCCTTGGGGATAAGAATATCCAGGAAGAGTGAAGAAAAGATTCCAGCTACTTCTGTAGCTCTATGAAAGTAATGTACAGATTTCCCTTAAATTGTCTGTCTATCCATTAAATGCTTCAGTCATGGTTACAGGCATAACTTCCTTTTGATACTGTTTTTCAAATGACACCAAAGACCAAAGATAATTTGTGATTAGGTATTTGAGCATATCTGTTCTTCAGATGACAAAGTAATTAGGAAGAAGTTGATTAAATGCCATACCTATTTCCTTTAGTTGAAATAATTCAAATTTCAGATTTAGATTTGCCAAGTGGTTTTCCAGTTGGAGAGCTTAAGCATTGAGTATGTGGAAACTTAAATCAGGCTTCTTATCGCTACATTTGATAATCAAAATGTGACCCAGGTAATTTTTAGACTAACTAGGATAAAATAAAAAATTAAGCATGTCCAGTGGAAATGACACTTTGGAAGGAATCTCCAGTTACTCCTCTGATGTCAATGGCACACACCCATGGCACTCACTCAGGAAAACCTTAGGTGGTCTTCCTAGCCATACCTAAATACTTTTATGGGAAAGTAAGATAACCTCATTCATTTTATTTTTTCCCAACTCCCTGGAACAGCCCAACAAGATGCTGGACAGAGAGGGATTATAGGAACATGGTTTCTCTTGAGGGTCCAACAGCAAAGTGATAGCTCTCTTAGTTATTTGTAGTCTCATATGGTGGGTATATTCCGATTCTGGATCCATTGACAGTAAGTGTTAGAAAGGACTTTAATATGTTTTGGTCTCACTTCTTCATTTCACGAATGAAGAGACTGAAGTCAAGCAGGGTACTCTAGTCACAGAGGCTTGCTAATGCCAAAGCCATAATTTGCCTCTGGTTTCCTTGGGGACTAGTGCACTGGACTCTACCATCCTGTACCACTGACCATTACATTTCATCTTGTGTTGGGTCATAAGTCATTGTGTGGACACAAAAGGGGAAAAAATTATGACAAAATCATCTTCAAAGATAGAAGACAATGCATTTATGTCAGTTTGTACACAGAGTGGCCACAGACATTTTTACTCCAAGATATCTTTGTGGTTTACTTACTTGCCATTCTAAAGTCCTTGGGAAATTTACTCTGATTATTTCTAAAGGAACTGAGAACCAGCCCACTGGTTCTATCTTCTGCAGCAGAATGGTAGAGACATAAGCATCAAAACAATAATAGTGCAACATAATTTACTCAGACAAATAAGTTCCCAAGCAAAACAACTTTCATTTTCATACAATGCAGACTTTGTCTATTTTCATGCTATTGATTTTTCCCTTTTGCTTATATTATTCCCTCTATTTTAAAAATAAAACAAGCATTATTTTTTTCTATACTTAAACAAATTTTAATTCTAGAACAAAACATCTACAAAGGAAAGTGAACAAACATATATATCCTGTTAATGAATAATTATAAAACGTCATCATTCTTACAACCACTACAGGTCAAGAAATAAAATATTGCCAGCACACGGAAGCTTTTCCACACCTGTGTTTTCTTCCTGATTTCAACTCTTCCACTCTTTTCCTCCTTTAGACTGAAGTTTGTGATATTCATTTAAGTTATATATTCTGTTTCTATCCATTCTTTTAGTCATTATCACAACATGCATGCTTCACTTATCAAAGTTTTAAGTTACATATATATTTACTGTCCTTCTAGACAATATGTATTAGGTTGCCAGGGAGTTGCATTAATCACATTAAAGATATAACACATAATTCCATTGTATCATGACTTTTATTGTTGTTGTAACATCATCTGTCAATCTAATAGTTGCTTCTTTGAAGATAATCAGTCTTTTTTTCCTCTTGCCACTTAGGATTTTGATTATGCTATTTGTAGATGTAAATATTTTGAAACCATCTGCTTGTGATTTGCTGGGATTCTTTTTTTTTTTTTTTTTTTTATCCTCACCCGAGGATATTTTTCCATTTTTTGTACAGATAGAGTGGGAGGGAGAGAGAGGAAGGGAGAGAGACAGAGAAACTTCGATGTGAAGGGACACATCGAGTGGCTGCCACCCGCACGACCAACCAGGGCCGGGGACAAACTGCAACCAAAGTACGTGCCCTTAGCGGGAACTGAAGCCGGGTCTCTCCGGACCGCAGGCCGACGCTCTAACCGCTGAGCCAAACCGGCCAGGGCTGGGATTCTTGAATCTGTTGGATTATGACTGCACTGTGAATACTTTTTCTAACCTATTTTCCAGTTCATCAACTCTCTCTTTAGCTCTACTATTCTTAACCTTTCCATTGAGTTTGTAATCTATTAGTGTGGTTTTTGCCAGTTCTAGTTGTTTTTTTTTTTTTTTTTTTCCAGATTGGTTGATCTTTTTATTTTTTATTTTTCTATGTTCTTCAGATATTATTATAAGTTTGTTTTTTGTTTTCTTAAACATAGTAAGCACAATTGTTTTATTTTGTGGATCTAAAAACTCAAATATATAATTGTTTGTGGGTTTGTTTCTGTAGTCTGTTGTTTCTGTTATCTTGTTTCCCCTGTGCCTGATTATTTTTATGGTATGTTTGTCATTGTATATATATATTCTTTGTAGCTATAGTTTGAACCCTACGATGTAAGTTTTTTTTTCCTGGAATAGTTTGCATTTTTACTTTCAAAAGCTTATGGGTAATTATAAACTAAAATCGCCTTAAACAAAATTTAAGAATTGAGGTTTTGTGGATCATTGAAGTGATTCAAAGGTAGCCAATAATGTGCATTAGGGCTGATTTATTTCTTGTTTACCTATACGCCAAGGAGATAACCTTTTGGGATCCAGCTTATTGAGGAAAGAGTCTTCTACTAGATTTCTCACTTTTCACACTCTGGGAGTTGAAACATGAAAATAAAAATTTGAATCTGGGAGAACAACAAATGCTCTCAGAGTAAAAGCAGCTCCTAAGTTCTGCTTATCTCTCTGTTCTGGTTCCTCAAATTTAACCCAATTATTTCTTCTCTTTTAATAATATTTTTAGACATTTTGTTCCACATTTTAATTGTTTGGGTGTGGAAATTAGTTTGAACCATGTTGATTGCCAGAAAACTGGAATACTTGTATGTACATTCCCAAGCAAACCCCAAGTTGAAAATCTATGCACTAGTCATATGAGAGATATAAATTGAAACATTTTGACCAAATGTCATGATATTTACTTAAAAGCAAAATGTTAAAAACCCCAATATTCAACATTAGTAGAATGCTTTAACAAATTATGATAAGTTAACATCATCATATAATCATTAAAAAGGATAATTATGCTGACTATGTCAAAATGGAATGTTTATGATATAATATTAAATGACAATAGAGGAAAATAAAATAATATGTTTGCTATTAAATACTGGTATATATTTGGGTGGGAAACAGAAAAAATACACAAATATTCCAAAATGAAGACAGAGATTTTAAAACAAGTAGAAAACTGTCATGATAATATTTTCCCCAAATAATTTCAGCATAAAATTTTCTCCCATTAAAAAAAGAAAAAGAGGGTCAGGGGAGAAGGAAGGCAAAGAGCAGTTTGAACTTATAACCTAATAACTCAGAATCTGCATCCAGGCCCAAACCATTTTTGTTTCTTCCTTCTGTGATGCGTATTTAACTCAGAAAACCAACCTTGGCTTCCTATAAGCTGAACATTTATTTAAAAAATGAAAGTAGTGAGCAAAACTCAAGGGCCTTACCTTTTTATCAGACCTTGATTTAGCTTTCAATGGATAAGTTTCAGAGAAAACACACATTTCTATCATTTGAAAATGGTGCATGTTCTTTTACTCTCTAGTAGGCGAGTAAAATGTCAATATATATTTAAATATAATCACTTATTTTTAGTTTAAGCAATTGTACTTTTAAAAGTTTTTTCTTAACTACAGCATTCCCGAAATCTCTCCTTGAAATGCTCCTTGTTTGACTAAGCACTAATTCTCCCTCCTTCAATTTCAGTATTAAAAGTCATTTCCTCAAAGTGTTATTTTCTGATTCTCTAATCAAAATTAGAACCAGTCTCACCACCTTTATTCGATTAGTACTCCATTCCTTGCACAGATTATGGTGCATTACTACATATTTATTTGTTTACCATCTGTTTCTAATATGCAAGCTGCCAAAGGGCGGGAACTGTGTTTATTTGATTCATATTTTGTAAATATATTATCTAAAATAGTGCACATTATATATTCATATATAATGACTATAAGTTTCTGATTAGGTTTCTTCTAGGCCACAGTTTAAATTGTTGTCATGTTTTTGTTGTTGTTGTGAAGCTTTCATTTTGGTGCAATACAGTGATTTTATGAAGTGATTACTTTTGTGTTCAAATATACTCAATAGGACAACCTATTCATAAAATGTCACTTTGGCTTTGTTGTTTTTTTCTTTTTATCCAGGAGAAGTCAATGATTTTGCCAAGTCTGAAATATTTATATTTCACAATGGAGGTGTACAAATTTTATGCAAATGCCCTGAGAGTGTCTGGCAATTTAGAATGCAGTTGCTGAAAGGAACGCAAACAGGGACGCAAACAATCTGTGATCTCAGTAGGACAAAGGGAATTGGAAACACAATATCCACTCAGAATCTGAAATTCTGTCAATTATCCAATAACAGTGTCTCTTATTATCTGAATAACTTGGACCATGCTTCTGGTAACTCCTACTCCTGCAAACTATCGATTTTTGATCCTCCTCCTTTTAAAGAGATTGTTAGGAAAGAATATTTGCATATTTACGGTAAGACATTGTTTTTATCTTCTGGGTATAAGTGTACATATGCATTTTGACAACTTTTCTTATTAATGAAAACAAACAAATAGCTATCTTTTGTGTTGTTGTTCATTTAGGTATAATTGATGGCAATCACCTATGATGAAAATATGCAAGAGATAATTTATTATTATTAATAATAATTATTAATCAGTAATATACAATTTAATCATGTAGACTGATGAGTTAGAAATAGGTAATTGTCTTTAAAACATATATGCCATTAAAAATCAGGAAAAATAAAGACAAATACTCAAGTGTAGGGCTTAATGACTTTTACTTCTAGTCACTTAAGGCTTAAGGTTTTGATTTAATGCCAGGTTTGTGGAATGCAGTAAGATGACTGAAAATAATAGTTTTATGTTATTACTTTTCTTACTTATTCTTTTGCAAAAACATAGACAGAAAAGTCCTTTTTATTAGCCATACGTGTACACATATATGTGTATAGAGTCTTTTAGGTTTTATTTTTTGGATTCTTACTATAATATTAAAATGATGTTATTTACTATTTACTAGATTTCATAGTTGTAATGAATACAAGCTCATTTGATTAAATAGTTCTTTTGAATTTGGTAAAAGAACTTGTGATTCAGCACTGAAAGAGGAGATTTGATTTTTAGAATTTTTTTCTTAACATATCTTTTTTCTAACCCAGAATCACAGCTTTGTTGCCGACTGAAGTTCTGGCTACCCATCTGTTGTGCAGTTTTTGTTGTAGTCAACATTTTTGGATGCACATTTTATTGTTGGCTTAAAAAAAAGGTGAGCAATATCTATCCTTCCCTGTATCTACTTTACTGGGGAATATCAGTGGTTATTTACTCATCAAAGTACATATTACTCTTGCCAGAGTAAATTGACCAACAGGTAGACAATTATTTTTCTCAAGATATATCTACTAAGTAATCTACTACCTTGGAACAGAAACTTATTTATTATACAGCTGCTTCATTAAAAATTATTCGATGGCTTACAAAGATATATGTTATTATAAAGATGAGGAAATCGGGGCCAATAAAAGACAAAAAGTCACGAGGAAGGTAAAAACATAAAAATAGATGCTCTGGCTTTTAAAAATTTTTATTGTGGGCTGAAAATTTGACTCTAAGCTTCCTAAGAGTCAGGACAAAGATGAAGCAGTTATGTTTCACTCAATTGGTCAATTAAGAAATAATCAGTGAGAGTCTTATAAGGTCCCAGTAGTAGTTGAGAAGTGAATGGCCAGCTTGTTTGCATGGTAAATTACTAAGACTTGTATTTATTTATTTATTTAATTTTTTTTATTAATTAATTTTTGTTACTGATGTTTCTCCTTTTCCCCCCACTGATTCCCCCTCCCCATCCCTCCCTGCCCTGTCCCCAGCTTTGTTGTCCATGTCCATTGTTCATGCATACATGTATATAAGTTCTGTGGTTTATCTCTCCCCCACCACCCCCTCTTCTGGGGATTGTCAGTCTGTACCCCACATCCACGTCTTTGGAACTACTCCATTCCTCAGACTGTTATGTTCATTATATTCCACAAATAAGTGAGATCATATGTCTTTCTCCTTTTGGCTTGTTTCGCTTAGGATGATACTTTTCAGGTCCCTCCATGTCGTCTCAAAGGATAAGAGATCTTTCTTTCTTACAGCTGCATAGTACTCCATTGTGTATATGTACCACTGCTTTTTTATCCATTTGTCTACTGATGGACACTTGGGCTGTTTCCAGATCTTAGCTATTGTAAATAGTGCTGCTACAAACATGGGGGTACATACATTCTTTCTGACTGGTGTTTCAAGCTTCGTAGGGTATATTCCTAGAAGTGGGATCACTGGGTCAAATGGAAGTTCAATTTTTAAATTTTTGAGGTAACACCATGTTGTTTTCCATAGTGGCTGCACCAGTCTGCATTCCCACCAGCAGTGTACTAGAGTTCCCTTTTCTCCACATCCTCGCCAATACTTGTTTGATGATTTGTTGATGGCAGCCATTCTGACAGTTGTGAGGTGATACCTCATTGTTGTTTTAATTTGCATCTCTCTGATGATTAGTGATGATGAGCATTTCTTCATATGTCTCTTAGCCATTTGTATGTCCTGTTTGGAGAGGTGTCTATTTAGTTCCTCTGCCCATTTTTTAAATTGGGTTCTTTGTCTTCCTTTTGTTGAGTTGTATGAGCACCCTTATCTGATATATTATTGGCAATTATGCTCTCTCATACAGTGAGTAGCCTTTCCATTTTGATGATTGTGTCTTTAGCTGTGCAGAAGCTTTTGAGTTTGATGTAGTCCCGTGTGTTCATTTTCTCCTTTGTTTCTGTTACCTTAGGTGATGTATCAATGAAAATTCTGCTGCGTATGATGTCTGAAATTTTGTTGCCTACAGTTTCTTCTAGGATTTTTATGGATTCACATTTAAGTCTTTTATTCATTTTGAGTATATTCTTGTGTAGGGTGTAAGTTGATGGTCTAGTTTCATTTTTTCTGCATGTAGCTGTCCAATTTTCCCAGTACCATTTATTAAAGAGGCTGTCCTTATTCCACTGTATGCACTAAGACTTGTTTTTAAAGAAAAGCTATGCAGAAAGATAAAACAACAACAATAAGGACAACAACAAAAATCTTTCTGTGCTGGGAATATTCTTTGTAGTCTTTTGCAATAAGAAGTTCTCAAAGAACTTATACCATCCTGCATATTGTGCAAGTCTGCTAATACTCAAATGTATCCACAGTGTGATCATTGACCAAACTGTGTACATCTGGGTCAGATGGATTATGAAAAAAGAGATAAAGAAGGAAGAGAGTGAGATAGGGCCCACGATCTAAATCTAGTGAGGAAAGAACAATAAAGGCAGATATGAGGAAGTTGGTTTAGTGGAAAGTTCTTTTTATTCAAATCCCTGCTCATAGTGTTCTTCTACTTGGCCTGAAGCCAGGAGACTAAGTCACATGCCACTTCAGCAAAGAAAAGAGTAAACAAATAAACCAAAATCCCAAACAAATAAACAAAGGAAAAATCAGGTTGGAGATGGGGGAAAGCAGATGACAAACAGGTTTCCGACTTTTTTCTTTCAGAAGTATCCAACCAGTGTGCATGACCCTAACAGTGAATACATGTTCATGGCAGCAGTGAACACAACTAAGAAGCCTAGACTCACAGGTGAATTTAGGGGGTTGGGAAGGAAAGAGAATTCTTCTCAGTAAGGCTGAAGTTTTCATTTATGATTTTAATGCCTCTGAGTCTGAATTTCTGTATTTTCTGTGAAAAACTGAATTTTTATTTTAACTGAATGTATGTTTTCTGCAGCTTATAAAAAACAAACAAGTTTGTAAATGACTATTAAAAATAAAAAGTTCATGAATCACTATTATATCAAGGCAATTTTCCAACTGATACTTCAAAAATTGAGATGATTCTAAGTCTCCCTTGTTAAGAAGCTTATTAAGTCATACAATGAGATTTACTGAATATTAATTAAGGGCAAAAATCCAAGTGAGGCACTATGGGAGAGACATAGATATATGAAGATTTTTTTTTTTTTTGACTGAGATTTGGAAGAGAGTCTGGGTTGGTGTTACCAAGGGGAAGAGGAAGAATTGGTGAAAATATTGTTAAAATGTACAAGTTTAAAGAACTTGGATGCCACAGAAGGCCACTTATGTGGGACTCTGACCTTTTCCATTCAGAGTAAGTCTTGTCAACTTGAGTGTCATTAAGTTGAGGAGCATTCAGAAAGTTTGAAGCATCTATTATAGACAAGGTGCACATTTTATGCTTGTGAGGTTTCAGTGATATGAGGTATATAATGAGACAGAAACCATTGCATTTTGCCACAATTGGTGAAGGACTTATATTAAAGAAATGCACAAAATATTTGTCATCATAGAATTAAAGTATGGAAAGGGAGTTAAATGCTTCTTTATTTCATCTTCTCATTTTTCAGATTCAAGAAATTATTGATGCCCAGTATGTTCAGTGACTTCTCTTGTTTCCCAGAGATTAAATACCATAGCTCTGACACTAGCAAAGAGCTTGTGTTTCATATAACTTCATTATTTAAAAAATTAATTTCTCTCAATCTCTGTGCTTGTAATCATGTGTCTGCCTTGGTTTGGAACCCAGAAAACAGACTCTGAGACAGAGACTTGTGTGCAAGTAATTTAGTGGGAAGGTGACCCAAAGAAGAAAGGGCGAGGGAACAGGGAGAGTGAGACAGGTAAGGAGGAAAAGCAATGAAGATTGTATTACAGAGATCTCAGCTGGAGGCTACAGGACCTCTGAGAAGTGTACAGATGTCTCCCATAAGTGCAGCATTTATCCACTGGCTCCCATCCCCACTGGTTTGTGATTGCCTACAGAGCATATTAATCTCTCTCATCCCTGAGCTCTGCCTTGTGCTTGGGATGAGCTGGTTCGCAAGTCTTCAGAGAAAGTCCCGAGGCAGAAAAGCAGAGAAATGCACAATGAGGCCATTGTACTAGAACAGTTAGCACACACAGAAGTGTTCACCCCAGCTGTGTCTGACATCAGAGGTGGGTGATTTCTGGTTCCACCTACCAAGCCTAGCATACATCTTTTAATTAGATTTAAACAAATGATTATGAAAATGTCCAGAGTGTAAGGTTCTTGAGGGGAGGTAGGATCTTTCTTCTGTTTATTCTGAATTATGTATACACATACACAATTCCAAGCAGAGCCTGACTTAGCGCCTCCATCAAATGTTTATTGAATGATGATTCTGTGAATAGCACCATGTTGAATAATGTATATTGGGTAGAGACAAGACAGTCCATGTTTTCAATTTGTAATGTCATTGGGAGAGGTGATATGTTTGCACAGAGGGCAGAGTCACATGATAGTGTCAAGAGTATTCAACTGCGAAGTGTAGAATTCAGATAATATCTGCTGCAGGAGTTGAGAGTGGGCCGAGTAAAGCATCAGGAAAATGTGGAACTGGTCCTGGGTCTTGACAGATAAAGGAAAGTTTGGCTGGGGTGTGTCTGTGTGTGTGCGCCTGTATTTACAAGAGGCAGAGAAAAGGGGGGAAACTTGTTGAAGGGGATTGGCACATGGAGAGCTTTTAAAGAATTGATGCTAAATTTTCGTTACAGATGTTACTCATAACTTGGGACCCTTTGGCACCCAGGCATGAACCATGTTGATCATCTCCCCACTACTTGAAGTGCAAGATTTCTCATTTCCTGAACCAAGGAGAATCTGGCTTGATTTGACTACATACAGCTTCTACTGGTGTTTTGTTTGATCTGGACCCAGAGAATATAGTAGTCAACAGAGATTTTAACAGACTGCCCCAGTACTGTTGAATTTGATCAAAACCAACACCCTCTTGCAACTTGCTTTATAGAACGTCCTGCTCATGTGTGCCCAACAAATAGACCTCGCTGGGATGGAGTCACTGTCTTCACACCCGCTTCTAGTAATGCACCAGCCAGTAAAACACACACATCTACAGACATTTTAAAATATGCCCAAGGTAGTGAATCTACAAAGCAAATAAACAGCCAAGGGCTAGCATCTGTTCACATTTCACTAACAGACTACCTCTTCTTCTTGTAGGATGAGCAATTTTTAAAACCAGACAGTAGAGGACACATTTCAAAACTGTAGCTATTTTATTTCTAAGGTGTCAATGTGTAACTATAGTGTACTAATACATTAGTACACAGTACTCTTCTCCACCTTCTGAACCCCAGTCTACCAAACCACCAGAGTTTAGATGCCTTCTGTTCTCAATTTTCCTTTTAAAAATACTTCTACACGGCTACTTGACAGACACTCTGAATAGAGAGCCATGTCTATATTTTTCCTTTACTGCTCACTAATATATATATAATATATTAACATATTATATATATTCACAGCCTAATGAATATGGTTTATTTATATTCTTCCTTCAAGAATATTTTTGCTCCAAAAAGACATATTTTTTTTTCCAAATTCAGTTAAAATGGCATATTTTCTTGACTTGTTGGTATTAGGGTAGGAAACCTTGGCCAGAATGGAAAGTGACTTCATTTTATGCTCCTGTTTTCTACCATTACATATTTTTTCAAGGTGCTATTAATTATAAGCTAGGCTATTTTTGTAATCATATTACAATTGCAAACAAACAAATAAACCCATCTATAACTGGCATGCAATGTCCTGGGGTAAAGCCAATGATCTATTCAGCATCAAGCTGCAGTCTTTGAGGTCACTGACAAAACCTATAGCCCTGCTGCCTCTGGTCTTGACAGGTTGAAATGACCCCCATCAGCCTGGAACAGCCATCCAGACCTGGGTGGAATTCCAAGGGTTGAGAGACTCCCCTGAGCTCTTACAACCAGGTGCTCTCGCCCTCAGAGACTGAAGTCACCGTGGAGACCATAGTGGGTCAACTTGCATTTGTACCTCCAGGATTTATGAAGAAGCATGATTGCCTCTCCTAGAAACCATTCAGCTTGGAAACTGGCCCAGCCCTTCAAGATAGTCTTCTTTCGAATACGATTTGTTTGGAAAGATTCTTAAATACATGTAACACAATTATTCTTAGCCTGGATTTTTCCTCTACTTCCTGTGTGCATGTCAAAGACTTCTGAAACAGCAAGTGTGTATTCAACTACACTTTTAACTTTAGGTGAAACGGGTTATTATGTTTTGAAATTTGTAGTTGCCTGTGCTTATAGTTTACTTTTTAAAAGTGAGACCTGATGTGTCATTATGCATGCTTATATTATTTTAAGCATGTGCAATGCTATATCTGTACAGTACAATACTGAATTTGTAATTTGAATCAAGAATGGTGTTCTCTGTTTTCAGCTGACTTGAACAACCTGGCTGGCTTTGCAGAGGTTTTTCCTGAGTTATTTGCAGCTTTCTGTGTGGGGATTCAGGGTGAGAGGAGACTCTTCATGTGGCATGGTTGTCCATGCTGTGCCCTGAAGCATCCTCATCCTCAGCATGGGACATTTCAAAATGAATTATTGAAGGATACAATTTCTGTGAAATAAAAACTGCTTTAAGAGGAGCTACTTATGAATGAATTTTAGCAGTAGTAGGAAGCTAAAGAATAAACATTTGATATTCAGCAACTGAAAATATCTCTCAGTGTTTCCTTGGGGGAGGGCAATGATCACCCTAGCAAATTTGCTCTTGTTCTTGAAGATAGTTCTATTGCTTAGAAGAATCCCTTCCTTCCTTCCTTCCTTCCTTCCTTCCTTCCTTCCTTCCTTCCTTCCTTCCTTCCTTCCTTCCTTCCTTCCTTCCTTCCTTCTTTCCCTCCCTCCCTCCTTCCCTCCCTCCCTCCCTCCCTTCCTTATTTCTTGCTTTAAATTTTTTTTGAAACAACACAAACTTATAAAAAAAATTTGTTGGAAGTATAGCAAAACAACTATTCCTTTCCTGAGTAAGTTTCTGATCTAATGTCCTCTCACCTCTGAAAAGTATGTATTTCCTATAAGTAAGAACACTCTCCTCCATAACCACAATCCATCAACATCAGAAAGTTAACACTGGTACATTGCTACCATGTGATCCTCAGACTGCATTCAAGTTTTGCCAGATGTCCTCATATATATTTTATAGCAAAAGATTCCACACAGAACCTGTCCCTGCATTTAGTCTGCATGTCTCTATTGTGTTGACTGTGGACAGTTCTTCCATCTATACTTTCATGGCTTTGACTCTTTTGAAGATTACAAGCTGTTATTTTGTAGAATGTTCCTTGACTTGAGTCATTTCTTCATAATTAAAATCAGGTTATTAATCTTTGGCAAAAATAACAAAGAAATGATGCTACATTCTTTTAATTGCAACCCATCAGGTGGCCCACAATCGCAGTATGTTACATTACTTATAATGTTGATTTTGGTCAATTAAGGTGTGTCTGTCTAGTTCTATACTGTAAAGTATTTCCTCTTTATAGTTAATACTTTATGCAGAGGTACTTTGAAATTTTGTAACTCTTCTGTGTCTCATCAAAGTTTAATTTATTTATTTATAACTATATATTTTTTAAATTTGTCCAATGGGTAAACATGTCTTACTATCATTATTTTATTTTTATGCTTAAATCGTCCCATCCTTGGCCAGTGAGACACTATTCAAACTAGCTCTTGTGTTCTTCTACCAGGTCCCCATCATTCTGTCAGCGCTTCCTTGTTTTCTGGCAGAACAAGGCATTCCAGACTCAGCTCTCGTTTCCGTCTCAGCGCTGGAATCTGCAGTTCCTCCCAGGAGCCCTGGTATCTTCGGAGTGGACAATGATTTTTAGCAGCCAAAATCTAGGCATTAGTTATGCTTATTACTGTTGGGATTTTCCTGCTTCTAGCCCCTTAGTGAACAGAACTGGTACACACACACAAATATAGATGTAAATGTGTATATATACAAGTGTATACCAATATATGTGTAAATATAACATATGTAAGTATAGATGTAAATGTGTGTACATATACATACACATATGTATGCATACATACACATATTTATATCTATATTTATAATTGTAACTACTATATATGTTAAAATCCGTAAGTTTATACTTGTGTCCTTAATTTCAACACAACAGTACAGGGTTTATCTTAGGTTTATTCCTTTTTATTATTTGTCCCTCTTATGACAGTGAGAAACCTGATTCTCATTATCCTTTTTCTTTTGTTTATCCTCACTAGAGGATATTTTTCCATTGATTTTTTGATAGAGTGGAACGAAGAGAGAGAGAGAGAAACATCAATGTGGGAGAGACACATCAATTTGTTGCCTTGCACACGACCCTAACCAGGGCTGGGGATCAAACCTGCAAATGAGGTATGTGCCTTGATTAAGAATCGAACCCTTGACCCTTAGGTTTGTGGGCTGATGCTCCAACTGCTGAGCCAAACCAGCCAGGGCTATTCTTTTTTCTTTTAGTCTTCATCCGAAGATATGTTTTTATTGACTTTTAGAAAGAAATTAAGGCGGAGAGAGAGAGAGAAACATGAATGTGAAAGAAAAACATCGTTTGGTTGCCTCTTGTAGGTGCCCCAACCAGGGATTGAATCTGCAACTTTTATGGTGTACAGGATGACACTCCAATGATCTGAGCCACCCGGCTGGGGCTCATTATCCTTAATATGCTTACTTGTTTGTTCAATCCCCCAGTATTAAATGAATCTCCCGTTTTGGTAGTACACCTTCCCCCATGTGGTAGCTTCCTCTCTCTGCCTGGGCTCTGACTCTTCCATCTAGTACCTCATGGAATTGGCCCAGCTTGGGCTCTGACTCTCTATGCTGGGCTCTCCCACCTCATGGATGCACTACCCTGTTTGGGCTCTAAGACCTTAGGCTGGGTGGTTTCTCCATCCCTAGCTCAGGGCCACAGTGACTCCCCTGGCCTGGGGTGGCTAACCTTATGACCTGTGTTAAGTTCCAATTCCTATAGTGATTACTGACAGCAATTCTTTAGTGACAGCAATTCCTTCCCTGTGTCAATTTCTTACTTCCCTGTTGGCTTTCTTTCACTTCCCACATAAACTGCTTACTTCTCTATTGGTGTTTCTTAATTTCCTATATAAAATTACTTCCTTATTGGTGTTTCTTTAATTTCCCACATAAACTGCTTACTTTCCTATTGGTGTTTCTTTAATTTCCCACATAAACTGCTACCTCAGCTTCTGTTTCTGGGAGAATTTCAACTCAGATACCTTTGCCCTCCGTCCCACAGGAAATAGTGGTTTTCCACTGTTGCTAGTCCCTGATGCTTCATCCTCTCTTGTTTGTTCCTTGATTTCATCTATATATTTGGAAACAATCCCTTAATTACCCTCTTCACTTAACCTTTAGGTTATTACTTATTTCTGTAGTGGCTCTGATGGAATCACACCCAAATATGGCCTTTTCCTCTGCTCCATTTCCCTTCTGTGACACAGGGTGCTCCCAGGATCTGACCTCCTTGTCTAGCAGTACCAGCTTGCATGCCAATGAATGAAAATCTCCACCTCATCATAGCATTTTCTTTGTTAAATTCACATTCTTCATAAGAGGGGACTCAGAATTACATGGAAAGAAATGACGTTCAGTCAGAAATAAATTTTAATTGAAAATATATCTTTTCCCAGTGTTTGGAGAACATGCCAAAATGGGGATAGGTTTCATTCTACATTCGCAAAGCACAGAGAAACTTTATTAAAAAACACCACGAGGACACAGAGGGGTCAAGATGGTGGCATAGGTAAATGCAGTGTCGCGTCTTCCCACAACCACATCAAAACTACAACACAACCATCATTCAGAACCTCCTGAAATCAAGCTGAATGGAAGTCCTACAACTACAAAATTAAAGCAGCAGTCACATCCAGACTAGTAGGAGGGGCGGAGGCAGACGGGCTGGTCCCACACCCACGTGTGGCGGATAAAAATCAGGAGGACACCTGGGCTGGGAACTCAGTCCCTGAGGACTGAGGGGTCCCCATCCCACACTGGGTGCCCAGCTCAGGGTCCCAGTGCCAGGAAGAAAAGTCCTCATGACTTCTGGCTGTAAAACCAGTGGGAACTGAGGCAGAGGGAGGCTGCGGATGCAGAAGCCCCAGCAGCTCCTTTTAAAGGGCCTGCACACAGACTTATGCAGACCCACTCCCTCTGAGCTCCAAGGGGAGGCAGCTAGAGGGGCACCAGAGAACAGGGAAGAACTGAGCTGTTTGGCCTCTGGATGAGGGCTGGAGGGTCAGCTTTCTCCTGGACAGATGTGCTGGTAGAGGCCATTGTTCCTTTGGTGAACCCTTCCCCCACAGGGCAGGCAGACAGCGGCCATATCTGGGACTCTAGCAACCTGGCTCACACTGTTGGCCCTG